TGGTGTTGGCAGAAAACAGGTGTGGCGGTGAAGGGGAGAGTTACACACGAGACCACAGTGGAGGAGACGTCGCGACCGTAAATGCCTGTTATTCACCTATTACTACTCCTAACAACAAGGGAACTAAAAACCCAAAGCCACCGGACGTGGAAGACGCGTCGAAAATAGAAAAAAAGATCAAATACAAAAAAAGACTCTTGGCCTAAAATAATTATCACCTTCTTTATACACACACCAATACACTATATATATATATATATATTCCTACGTGTGTCACCATTGGTTCCCTGTGCGACTCAGGCCGAATTGACGGTGACAAACTTCAGCAGCTCCTCCTCAACGCAGGATACGTCTGCCGCAAGGTCGCGGGGCGTCATTGTCTTTGTCTCTGCCACTGTCAGTGCGGCGTTCAGGGCAGGGTGAACGGCGACCTGCGGGCACTGGGCAAGAATCTCATTGTACAGCCCCCTGCAGGTCCGCACCGAGTCTTCTGCCGCCCCTTCGCCCGGCGTTTTTGCCATTCTTGTTGAAATGTCGTGCGCCATATCTTCCCCCCGCAGCGCACGTAGCACCGAACCAGGGAATTTTGCCCAGTGGGCGGTGCTCGCAATGACCAGCGGGCGCGGCGCCACGCCGTGCTCCAGTTGGAACAGGCGAAATTGCCGCGCCGCGAAGACAGCAACGGCGGTGTGCGGATCCAGCAGGCGGCCGGCGGAGGCCTCGTAGACCGCCTTTATAGTGGCGGCGCACTCCTGCTCGGTGCAGCGGGCAGACCAAAACTCCTTCCGCATGACGGCCAGCGCGTCCCCCTCCAAGGCAAAGTGCCCCTCCGTCTCGAGGCGACGCATCTGCGCTGCCACAAACGCCGCGTCGCCGTCGGCAAGCAAAAAGAGAAACCTCTCCACGTTGGAGGCCTTCAGAATGTCAATGGAGGGTGACGCCGTCGGCACCAGCCGTCGCTGGCGGACGTCGTAGTGGCCGGTCCGCACAAACTCAAAGAGCACGTCGTTGCAGTTGGAGGCCACTACCAGCGTGCCCAGCGACAGCCCCATGCGCTTCGCAAGGAAGGCAGCGAGGATGTTGCCAAAGTTCCCGCACGGCACCACGACGTCGAGTGGGTCGCCCAGCCGTAGCTGCCGCTGCTGCACAAAGTGGCGATACGCCCAAAAGTAATACACCACTTGCGGAATAAGACGTCCCCAGTTGATGCTGTTGGCAGAGGACAACCGGACGCCAGCGTCTCCCCACAGCCGCTGCGCCAGGGACCGGTTCGCGAACAAGTGTTTCACGGTGGACTGGCAAAAATCAAAATCCGACTTCACCCCATACACCCGCACGGAGGCCCCATCGTCATACGACAACATTTGAATTTGTTGCACTGGAGACACGCCGTGAAGGGGGTAAAGCACCATGACGCGGCTAGGGCTTCCGGCGTTCACAAAACCACTAATAGCGGCCACCCCCGTATCGCCGGACGTCGCGGTAAGAATTATGTACGAGGGTGGGGCAGCGTGGCAGGCGTGTGCTGTGGCAATGTCAAAGTAACGGGGGAAGAGTTGCAGGGCAAAGTCCTTGAAGGCGGCTGTGGGTCCATGGTACAGCTCCAGCAGCGACATGCCACTCCAATGGATGTCGGGTGCCGCAGCTACGCCTGCGTCAGCCGCGGCGGGGTGCGGAGTTCCAGCGGCATTCGCGCCCCCGTCCAGGAGCAAGGGTGTGACAGGGCACACATTGCCCCGCCCACTCCACCGAGCAGGGGCGTACGCCTCGGCGAGCAGCATGTGCAGCGTCGCTGGCTGCATGGTGGCGTCCACGAGCCGCTCCAGCACAAGCTGCGCCCCCTCAACGTAGCTCAACGCAGGATTTGTGCAAAAGTAGCGCAGCTGCGACGCCGTCATTTTCGGGATGCGCCGCAAGCTGTAGAGGCCGCTGTCCGGCGCCAGACCGTTCCGCACAACCGTCAGGAACGTGGTTGACATGTCTATTGCACCGCGCGTTGAGGTGAACCGGCGCCCGTCAAGCAGAGACGTCACCTCCTCCACAACCTCCGCCGTGGTGCTCGTGGGGGTCCAGAAAAAGCGACAGTCGTACGGCACCGCTTGTGGGCTCACAAGCGGCGCGTCATGTGCCTCAAGAAGCAGGCGAAACGAGGACGCCGCCGCTGCCGCCGCCGCACCTTCTTTCTTGGCTTCATGTGGCGGGTGCAACGTGAATCGCGTGGGGACATACGCGGCCAACAGGGCGCGCTCCACATCTTCCCTGGCGGCGACCGGGGCCGATCCGGTCACATGGAGGAGAATCATAGGGGGCAGGGTGATGCTTCCACGCAGCGTGGTTTTTCCACTGCGCACTCGCTTCTTAAGGGCTCTGCGGCACTAACGCGGTGGCACGCAACGGCAAGGTGTGTTTCCGGGGTGGGGGCAGCGTAAGTAAGAGGCAAATAAGAAGAAAGAAAAGAGGCACGACGGCGCAAAAAAAAAAAACACCTAGTGTCCCCCGCCGACGCCACCACGCCGAGACGTACCCACGAAGATAGAGGGAGGGCGAGCGGGACCGGCAGATGGGGCAAGACACGGCACACGCACAGCACGCAGAACAGTAACAAAACTGAGTGAATGAGTGAAGACAGACACAAGCAAAGCGGCGCCGCGGCGCCATAGCCACGCAGTCCACGGCGATTGCTGGGCTGGCAGCACGTATCCTGGACGAGCAACTCCCACACTCCGCTGCCTCCTTTTTTTTTCTTTTTTTTTTCCGTCGCCTTCTCGTTTCCTGCAACCCCCACGTCCTTCCCTGAAGCGGCGCAAAAAAAAAAGCCACACACACACATATCAGCATTACTTTCAAGCTTCCCACCGTGAAACGCGAAGCAACGACTACTTCTCACGCGTGGGACGATGTGCCTGGCCGAGACCGCGTCCTCACACTCTACACACAAACAAACAAACAAAAAAACAAACAAACAAACAGTGCATGCATGCATGCATGTATGCGTTTGGTGGTGGTGGAGCACAAACATGAAAAGACAAACCGTTTTGATTTTTTGTGTCCGGTATCCCTATCAATGCAGAGATTTATCTCCCAATTACTCACTCAAACACATATACACGCAGACGGAATAATAAGAAGTAGCAGAAAGAAACGAGTTCTTAAAGCATAATGCAATGATAACCGGGCTCTCGCTGTGGACTGACAAAATGGCCGTCGTTAGGGTTGTGCAACCGCTGGCTCTCCCTCCAGGCGGGGGCTCTTGGCAGCAGTGATAATAGCAGTCATGATAATAGTGTTCATAGAAGTATAAGCAGAATAATTCCACTTACGCCGCCCTCTGAATGCGGTATTCATAGATGCATATATTAGTAAAAAAGAAAAAAAAAGAAAAAACAAACAAACCACGTTACAGCTAAAGAAGCGGCCGGAACTGAGGAGGAGAGGCGTTACCATCTACATGACCTTTATAGGGTCGGACGCTGCCCTCCACAGCCTCCTATTATGGGCGCAGGGGCGAAAGACACACCCACACCCCTCTCCAAGAGTAACAAACAAACAAGTTAAACAAACAACTACTGTAGGAGAAAAGAAGAGGGAGGAAACAAACCACGAAACCAACAATAACAACCGCAGTTAAACCCCCCCCTCCGTAGAAGCAGTAGTGGTAGTGCTAATCGCAACCGGTGCCAGGTGTAGGCATCTCCCCTCCCCCACCCTCGTGTATTTGCCGTGTCGGTGGTGAATGGGGATGGCCCACATCTGTCTGCATGCGTTTTTGCAGCCACCCGTATTTTTGCGTCTCTCTCTCTCTCTCTCCCTCCTCCCCTTTCACTCACGGGCCACACAACGCCCCCACTCCACATGCCCTACACAGACTAGGGGGGGGGGATAAACGTATAAATAGACATGCATGCATATTTACATCCAATTTGCATCCCCGTCGGCGCCACTTCACGCAGGGATGCGTGCATCCTTCAATTATTTCTACCTTCTCCCCCTTGCGATGAAAGCCAACAACAACAAATAAAAGCTCTTCCTCGTTTTCAACGTTCTCTCCTTTTAATAATAATAATAATATATATATATATATATATGATATATATATATATACATATGTATGTATATGTTCACCTTTCTCTCTCCGCACTTCCCCCCCCCTCCCTCCCTCACCCAATCACCTCGGCCTCGTTTTACAAACCTCAGCAACAGCGGCAACAACAGGAGCAAAAAAGACACCTTCTTTGTTAGTGTTATTTTAGAGAAGTGACACTTTTTGTTTTTGTTTCTTTTTTAACTGCCTATTTTTATTTTCTTTTTCGGGGGGAAAAAAAAAACAACTTCTTCGTCCGCTTGTCTTCGCCACTCGTCGGTGCCCCCGCGCCTCCTCTCCCCGTGTGGGTCCTGCCTGCTGCGGGTGGAGGGCGAGAGCCATGGGGCGACGGCGGCATCCGCACAGCCCGGTGCCACAAAGCGACAAAAACCGGGGCGTGAAGGGAGTATTAAAGAACAAAAAAAAAAAGAAATGAGTGGAGGGGAGGAAAGCCGGAAAAAAAGCTAGATGAGTTCTGCCAACTGCACGCATGCGTCGCCACTAACCCAATAGCGGGTGTGAAAAACTACATGCACGGGAGTTCATCCAATTTGTGGTCCCTTTCCTTCCTCTTCGTTGACCGCATCTTTTTTATTACTATTATTATGATTGCTGGACTTTAGTTTCTTCGCACGTCCCCGTTACCAGCGGGAGTTCCCTGCCGTCGGTGCCTGCCGCCTCAGGCGAGTATGTCAAGCAGCGTGTCAAGGGCCTTGATATACCCATCGTCCCGCTCGTACGCAGCCTCGGGGTCGCCGCCGCGCTGCAGCTCCTCCCGCTCGTACGTGAAGGCAAAATCCACCATCACGATCCGCGAGGAGAGCAGCGGCCGGTCGGCGTCGTACACAAACAGCAGCGAAGAGGTGAAGAAGCGAAAGACGTCTTGTTGCATGAAAGCCAACCGCAGCCGCCGCAGCTGCTTGCAAAAGTTGTGCCGGAGGCGTTTGCTATATTGCATGAAACGCAAGATCGTCTCTCGCAGCTCCTCTAGCGTCATCTTTCGCCCCGCCATCTTTGACTGTGTCTCGTACTGCTGCGTATCGGGACACCACTGCTTCATCCCCGCCAGCCGCACCCCGTGCTGCATCGAGGTCGACAACGCTGCCTTGCGCACCTTGCTGTGCAGCTTCGCCTCGGGCGGATTCATCCCGTACTGGCGACTCCCCATCTTTATGTCAAGAATGCAGGGGCGGACAAAGCCGTTGCACAAATCCTCCAGCACTATCATCTGCCGAAGCTTCTTTTCATTTTCGCTTGCCATTGCCGTTGACGTTGCTGTTGCCGTTGCCTCGGCCTGACTGGTGGCAAATTTGCCCTCACCCTGCTCGGTGGCGGGGGGGAAGGCAGGCTCCCCGCCTTTGCTCCTACACGGATCGCCCTCAAGCCACACGCAGCGACGGCCGAGGTACCGCGGAGTAAATGGGACGAGTGGGACAAGCACATCCCAATGTCGCCCCCCGCGCACTGCCGCTGCCGTGTTCGTGCCCCGCGGGCCCTCACCCCCGATGCCAAAGGCGCCGCTCACGCCACCACCACCGGCCCGCATGCCGCGTCCACTGCGCGCCGTGGAAAGGGAGCCGCGGCGCCGGCACCACCACCACATGTCCCAGTGCACCGGGACGGAGGCCTTCTGCTCCAAACTTTGGCTGCCGTCGCCTTCCCCGCTGTCACCGCGCTGATCGCCCCCACCGACCTCCGCAACCTCACTGCTGCCGTCCGAAGCGGAGGAGGCGGAGGAGGCGGAGGAGGTGGAGGTGGAGGTGGAGGCGGAGGCGGAGGAGGAGGAGGATGTACTGTAGTAGTACGCGTCTAGCAGCTCTCGATGGCGCCAGACGTATTCCTGAACGGGCTTCAACATCTCGTAGAAGCGTTCCTCGCGCTTCGAGCATGACTCCTTCATAAACACCCCACCCTCCACGATGGCCAGATGGTGGCCGCCGACAGACCCTGCGATGTTGATAACTGGCTCCAGGACGTTATCAACCCGCACCGTCGTCGCCCCGGTCCCACCGGCCCCCAACACGCCAGACGCCGTCGTCGGACGCGCATTCACGACGCGCCGGCGACGTACCTCACCACCTCCTCCGGCTTCCCTCCCAGAAGCTTCCGGCTGAAAAAGACGAGCCCAATTTTTCCTAATTTTCTTAAACTGCTGCTGCTTCTGCGGCGACCGCCCCGAGGGCTCAACGAAGCCATCACTGTTGTACTTGGGAAGCGGGTGAAGGTCGGCGCACAGGCCGCTGCCCACTAGGCCCTCCCGCGATGACGATAACTCCTTCGTGCTGCTGTCCTCAGGCCCATGCTCCGGGTGCCTCTGTGTTTCGCCAGCCGAAATCGTCTCGTCCCGGGCAAATGCCGTCGTCGTCGTGACACTGTCAGTGTCGGTCCGCACCGCGTTTATCCTGCCGCGGGTTGCCGCCTCCGCACTAACGTAGTCGTAGTAATCGTCGTCATCGCCTAAGAGGTGCGTTGCCCGCAAGCTGCCTGACCACCGCTTTCTTGCATCTACGCAGGTACTGTTCTCACTCTGCGGCGGCCGCGCTTCGCCACCGCCACCGTCGTCATGGTTGGCGCCCGACGCACCTCTCTGCAGGGGCTCAGCAAACACGGTGTTGATGACACTACTACAACTAAGACTGACATTAACAACCCCACCCGTGTGATCGTCGCGTAGCGTCGCCTCGTCAGAGCTCTTGTAGCCATCATCCTCCTCATCGTCGCTGGCCGCTGCAAAGTGGTTTCGCCGGCTCAGCTTGGGCAACACGAAGGTCGGTGACTCCGGGATGGGGCCGACGTCCGGCGTCTTGGAAAGCAGCGGCAGGACTCCCGCCGCGGCGTCACCGTCCCCTTCCAGCGACCGCTGCTGGAAGGAGCTCTCCTCCGTCTCGCGCCGCATGGCTGCCCGGAGGAGCTAGGAGCGTGAGACAAACAGGAGCGGAAGCAAACGGGTCCCGCGGCTTCGTTCTTCCGCTACGTCTTGTTATTTGTTTGTTTGTGTGAACGCGCACACACACACACAGCGCACGCACGGTCGCTGTGTGTGTAGCAATAAACTTCACACCCTCTGCAGAGGCAGTGTGACAAGAGAAAAGAGGCCGAAGGAGAAATGGAACGGCGGCGCGGTGACCATACAGAAGAAGGCAAAAGCAAAGGAAAACAGGCACGTGCGCACCACAAAATGGCAACGAAGCTGCATACTTATTATATAAACACAAACGTCCTTTTGTATACGCACTCCCTGCTCCTCAAGTGTTTCTCCCCACACCCCTTTTGCACAGCAGGTCCCCCGTCCCCGTCCCCGTCCCACACACGCAATTGCGCCGCCTCAGAGCCTCAACAGAACCATAGAAAACCAACGCAATCCAGAAGGAAACGGAGCAAAAAAAAACAAAACAAAAACAACACAAACATACACACACACATCTGTCGGCAAGATGTGGCCTCGCACCTGCAGCGTGACGTTGCAGGATTGTGTCCACTCATTGCCACCTGCCCCTGTCTTCATCGACGTGTTATCCGTTAGCTACATCTAATGTGCGGGGAGGGCATATATATATATATATAATTACATTACATATAGCTGTATATATGTGTACATTATACATCTACTGTGGTGACGGCAATAAACACACCGGAGGGGGGAGGCAGAAAAACCAGAGGCATTGAAAAAAAACAAAACAAAAACAAAACGAGCAAACATCAATCAAAGAAGAACTATACAAAAAAAAAATCGTAAATTATACATGTTTTCGGAATCTCCTCACCTATGTATAGAACTCAATAGTTATAGCTATACGTAGGAAATAACGCAACTAGATAGAAAAAGATATATATATATATATGAGAGAGAGAGAAGAGGCAAAGGAGATTGCAGGGGAAGTATGGGACAACCCCTTTAACGCTGAGGACTTCCTATTCTTCCCACAGCAGTGCCCCTCACAGTGCCCCTCTCACTCCTCCCGTTTTCACACCTGTCCTCAGCCGATACGCTGGCCATATGTCCTGTCGCCGCTGGTATCATGCCTTCCCCTACCAGTGCCGTGGTCGCCTCTTGCCTACTCAGCGGCTGCTTCGACAGGCGAAAACAACTGTTCACCTCATGAACGGCAGTTCGAGGACTTTTTACGTGGAGAAAATCTCGGCTGGCGGGGCGTAGCTCAACCAGCGGGTGCATCTCATGATAGCGTGACAGAAGCGAAAGTTCGCGGAAGATGCGGGCATGACGGACAAGTGCCATCTTTTCCTCCGGGCCGGACGCAGTTGCCTCCGCGAGGTCGTCAACCATTCGCTGAAAGGAGACCGTCAACAACGTATCACGGAGACGCTGCGCCGCGTGTGCTATCGTGGGCGATGGGCAACGTGGGCTTCTGTCACGTGCCTCTGCTACTGTGTCGGCCACCGTGGATGACAAGGTTACTGACGGCACTTCATGGGACGAGGCATGCGGCGATATTGATGTGCGTCCTCCACCGGGGGTGGCCCTGCCACCTTCCCCTACCACCACCTCCGCCATCGTGCTTGTCGCCTCCGCCTTGACGACTGCCGGCGCGGGTTTCACGATTGGGGAGGGTGCTGATGTTGGGGCGGGGGACGAGGCAGGGGCTGTGCCCCTGGAAGAAGAGGCTTCCACTCTGGAGGTGTCTCCAGCACCACCGTCGTCATCCTGCAGCGTTCCCTCCAGACACACTGGCCGCGTCCCCCACTTCTTCAGCCTCAGTTGCTGCGCCGGCACTGAGAGCAGCTCGCCACTCTGACGGGCACCCGGCGGCCGCAGCACACCGTGTCTGCACACCGCATTGCCGAGCGGAAACGAGTATTCCTGGGCCAGGCGACACACCGCAAAGTTTTCGCTGTGTAACACGTGCTTTGGCATCATCTCCTCTGTTGGTCGCGGCAAACGCACGAGGCCAAATTCATCCTTCTTGATGAACCGCCAGCGATGCTGCATCAATGTGCAGCTCGACTGCCACAACGTTGATGTAAGTGAATCAGGGCGCCGCGGGGACACGGGCAAGGACGGCAGCCTCATCTGGGCCGAGAACCCTAATGCCCGGAGTGCCTTGCGGCCCCGCCACCCCTCCCCTGTCGTATGAAAATACGCAGGAGGCAAAGTTGAGGCTACAGTCTTGCAGAACGGCGGTGAGACGGCGGCTGCCTCGGCTGCAACGTGGAGCGTAAAGTACGGGGCTGAAGTAGGCCCGTGAACGATGTACTCGCGGGACTGCCTCATGTTGTACGGGGCTGGGCTACGAGGTGCGTCCGTGCGTGGTAGTTGCCCTCTCGCTGTGCCGCTTTCGGGCTGTTCCTCCGCGGCTCTCATTACTTCCTCTGCGAAGAGCCGTGAGTGAGTGAGTAAGAGGAGGAGGGAAAAAGAGAGAAATATAAAAAGAAAGGGATCAGCAAGATTGCCGCAAGATGGCAGACGCAGGGGGAGCCTCCCGTGCTCGCCTCGGTGGCAGCAACGGCAGTAGCGTGACGGGCGACCGCCATCCCCTCTCGGAGGATCTACCACCACACAAATTACCAAACGCGCATCACACACGGGCCAACAGTTATTCGAGCTCGAGTCAAATGGTGGCTTAGCGGTTTAAATTTATTAATCGCCTTACTTTGCTCTCTTTAACACCCCTGTCATGACTCTTCTTCTTATTTCCTTTCCATCCTTAACACACTCTGCATTAAATCTTACACTCGCTCCAAGTTACATAATATGCTCCTTTTTTTTCCCCCCTTCTTCTTTTCCTTCTTGGATGCATATAAATTCCCCCAAATACCCCGGAACAGTGTTTTGTGTCATCATCTGCCGATATATTTCACGTCCCACACCTCTATACGTCTGCCTGCATTTCCATTTCTCTCTAGTCTCGAGCCCCCACACAAGCACAGCTTGAAAGACAACGTAAAAACAAAAAAAAAGCCAACTAAACAATAAACAAGAAGAAAAAAAAAACAATCAAATAAAAAAAAAAGTGAAAAGAGACAGGTACACACCACAACGACACACATCGTAAAGATAACATTATATATTATATGTATTATATATATATTGTCAGGCTAACAGCGGTGCTGTTTGGGGATTTAACCGTGCTCACCCCTCTGATTCCCGCATGTTAATCAGCGAATACAAGCGGTGACAACAGCACCAGGACGCCTCATAACGTAGCCACAGCCGTGCCTGTGCACAAAGGCAAAAGAGGAGACAACAACATGGCGTCTGGCGTGCAAAGTGGGGCAGCCCATACCTCCACTCCGCGAAAAACGTAGTGACGCAGAAGCGGCGCGTGGCAGAAAAGATAACATGTGTGTATGCGTCTGCGAAGGTCCATATGTGGCCCTTCAAAACGTCCGCGTGTACCCGACGTTTTTTTTTTTTGTACTGATATATGTAGTGCCGCCCGCTAGCCTGAGAACCCGCGCCTCTCACTGTCGGGATGGGCCAGCCGCCTCTCATCACTGTTGCCGTCACCGTTTAAGAACTCGCGGACGCCAGTGATCTCACGGTGCATGTCAAATGTGGACATCGCTGCTGTTGGAGGCGAGCAACCAAACTTGTTCTTGCCAAACTCATCCATAGGCTCTGCCGTGACTCTCTCCGCTGTAGACAATTCCTCTCCTTCGGTCGGCGACGGAAGAGCCGTGGGGAAAATGCCCAGGAGGCGCTCCCCGTGGCGATCGGGGTGGCCGTCGTTGTAGAAGATGCCGCGGCCAATCTCGTGGCCCTCCCCGTTGCTGTCGGCGGAGTTGTTATCGTCATCGGAGACCTCGCAGTTCACAATAACGCCCTGGAAGCCGTTGCGAGCGATGTAGCGGCAGTACAGGTACGACCCACCGCTCCCTACGATGAGGAAGCAGACCACCGACAACCCGATCGGGAGAGACACCATGGCGGAAACGATGGCGGCGGCAATGCAAAAAATGGCTGATGGCGCGAGACACATAGCGGCGGCAGCCGTGTTGCATGGCAGGGCATAGGGCCGCGGCAGATTTGGGTGATCGATGCGCAGCTTAATGAGTGAGGCGTAGATAAGCAGCATGCGCAGACAGTAGAGGGACTGGCACATCGCCACCACCTCCCCAAAGTCCATGGAAATGCAGAAAATCATTGTCACCGTCGAGTTGAGCAGAATGGCAGGTATCGGCGTGCCAATGGTGGGGTGGTAGTACCCAATGATGCGTGAGATCTTCTTGGGAAACATCTCCATCGTACCCATGCCCGCCAGCAACCGGCTGGTGCAGCACATCGACGTCAGCGTAAAGCCCAGCCCACTTACGATGGCCCCAGCAAACAAGTAGTACTTAAGCCACTCACCTGAAATAATAAGGGCAATCTGTGGCCAGCGCCCTGCCTGCCACTCCGACCAGTTCTGATGTGGTCCAAGCGCGCTGACGCCAGCCAGCATGGGAAGGAGGTACGCAATGTAGGAGGAGAACATAAGCGGTATCATCATCCGTGGGAAGGTCGTGCGCGGGTTCGACACCTCCTCCACCATGGCCCCCGCGTTCTCAATGTTCGCGTAGTTCCACGTCACCATGCTGAGAAAGGATGGCCAGTCAATACTGGAAAAATCCACGTGGGAAATGGCCTTACCATCAAGACCATGCGTAAAAATTTGCTGAAACGACAATATCAGAAACGGCATCATCGCGATCACGCACACAACCACGCAGGCTGAGCCAACAATCTCGACACCGGCACAGTTGAGAATACAACAAAACGCAATCACCCCAATCTTCACCCCAATCTCCCCGCCCTTGTTCAGTACCAGCAGCCCATCCACGTACTCGGAGGTAAGGCTGGGGTACGTCGCATTGCCCACAAACGTGATGAACACGGTCGAGATAATGCACATAAACGACACGGAGGCAGGGAAGGCGGCGTTGACCCACATGAGGATGCCCGAGTTGCTTGGCACAGCTGTGGAGAGTTCCGCCACCGCCAGTCCAGTCGGCAGAGACCAGATCCAGGGCAGTATAAGGCACACCACCAGCGTCACCAGCGGACCCGCCGCCCCAACAGTGTCCTCAAAGCCGTAGCCGCCACCAAAGCAATTGGCGAACATCAAGGCGAAGAGGCCAACAAACCCAATGGAGCCGCGATGGGCGACTGCCTCACCGGCCCGCTGCACCCAGTCGGGTCGCCGGATAACCTCCAGCGTGCGCCTCAGGTTTGGATGGAAAATGGGCTCCACATTTTGACGCCGCCGCACCAACGTCTGAAAGTTGGACTCCGCCGAGTGGGACATTGCCACCTGTTTCCCGCGCCTCTGCGGTAATTTTCACTGGTATCCAGGCACAGCACACACACACACAGCGAGAAAACTGTGGGCAAATATACGCTTCTGGATAAATAAATTTTGGACCCCACCCTGCCCTGAAAAATAATTATCCGTCACCGTCTATCAGTTTATCTGCTCGCCCTGACCTCCACTTCCTCCTCCTCTCTCACACACACTAACTAACCCTCTCTCTCTCCCTCTCCTCACACCCCACGTACCTTTGTGTTTGCTTGCGCTAAAGCCGCGACTTTAGTTTAATCGAAGTAAAACGCACCTTTTCCTTGGCAAGGCACATACACACAGAGATATAAAAAGAGAAAAAAGAAGAAACGAGAGGGGATTTGCTTTGCATGCATGGCCTACGACGTAGTCGCAAAGTTTTTTTTTTTTTAAAAAAAATTAGTTTTCTCTTCTTGTTCCGTTGACTTTGTGTCACTGTCCATTCCCCTATCATTTAGTCTCTCTCTCTCTCTCTCACCTCCACATCCACCCCGCTCAGGCGGATGCCAGTCGTTGCGCCTTCTGCTTTTCCTTTTCCGCCTCCGCCGCCTCCTCCGCCTCACGCTGGCGGTTTGCTTCTGCTATCAGCGGCCGTAGGTCCTCCTCTGTCAGAATCTTGAACTCTGTCACAGTCCTTGGCAGTGTGTTGTAGGGGTCCAACAACCGCTGCGTGGCGGGCGCCGGCACCTTGTGCAGGACGGCCACCTCCAGGCGCTCTCCCGACAGCTTGACGGTGTCCATTGTCTTTCCAAGCACGCGCAGGCAGAGCACAATACCCTCGTCTAGCGTGAGCTCCGGCTTCCAGTCCCGCTTGAGCAGCGTTTGGGCCACCTGGTCGTTCTGACCAATGGCGTAGGCGTGCCAGGTGTTGTAGTTGCCGCTGGTGTCAGTGTGGTACAGTTGGTACCCGTGGTGGCGATCCCACCCAGCCAAGAGGAAGGAAACCCCAAATGGACGGACACCGCCGTACTGCGTGTACAACTGCTTCTCATCGCACACCAGCCGGCAGAGGTCTTCCGCAGCCATGGGCTCCTGGTACGTGTAGTAGTGCCGATTCGCGCTAAGACGGGCGAGGTTGAGGAGGGCATAGGCGTCGGAGGTAACCCCGGCCACGCTGCAGCCGAGGTGGTCGGCAATCTTGTACACCTTGTCCCCGCTGATGTTCTTGTCCTCCATGTTCTCCGAGTCAAAGAGGCTGTTCTGCACCCCCTTCTCGGCGCCCAGTACAACACCGCCGGAGGTGAGAATACCAATAACAGTACCGGCCTGCGAAATTGCTTCCTCCGCGTACTCCACCTGATACAGACGGCCCTCAGGGGAAAAGGTGGTGGTGCGGCTGTCGTAGCGCGACGACATCTCCTCTGCGGCAAAAAAAAAATAATAAGCGAACTTTGACCCGCACTGTCCCTCCCCTCTTCTGCCTTTGCTTCCCTTGACCCACTCGCTGCTGTCGTAGTCGCTGCCTTTCCTCTTTTAAGGGGTTTCACGTTGCGTCGACTCCCCCCTTTTCCTTCTTTATTCCTGCTGTGCACGAGCCAAAAGAACTGCGCAGCAGTAATGTGTGTAAAAATATAAATATTTGTGCGTGTGCGTGAGTGTTTTTGTTCTTGCTGGTGAACCCTGCACCCGCCCACCAGAGAGTGGAAGCAAACACAAGGAATACGGAGTCAGCGAGTGACAGGGGGAGAAAACGGCGGAACAGCAAACCAACAACAAACATCAGCGGCTACTCTCTCCCTCCGTCATCAGGCAGTCAAAAGTAAATGACACGCACGCACGCACACACGTGTGGCGGGAGTGTGTTGTGGCGCAAAGGGAGGCAGGCAAGAGGGGTTCGCGTGCAGCGTCAGCACCAAAACACAAGCACACCAATC